AGACACACAAAAAAATTATATCGGTCTTTTATCGAAATTGTAGAGCCTGTTTAAGACAATTTCGGGTGAAATGTATACCCTGTTAAAGACGGCAAGGCCAAAAACCATACCCTGGCCAGCGGCACGTCCCCGTATAGTAAATATACGGGAGTGTCCCCCCCCCTCCCCCCCACCCCGGGGGTTTTATACGTTTTTTATGTATAAATATGAACCGCTTTTAATCAGTTGATCATAAATGAATTGTCTGTTTTTTAATTCTTTCGCGCGCGTTGCAAATGACTCGATCTAACATTAAGATATAATCACCGATACTTACTGTGATGAAATTATATCTTAAGTTTTCAGATCAACAGTGGCAGTCGTTCTTCACCAACATTTCTGAGGAAGTCGTGATGATGGAGAGCTTTCCTTTTCCAGCTAACCACATCAAGATTCGTTTTCTATGTGTTCTCGTTCTGTTCTGCATTTTCATCTGTGCCGTTGACTCAAATTCGACCAGCTTTGTAAACGTCAGCCTTAAAGATGATAGAGAAGGAAACTTGAAACACCTTTCTAAACGCTTCATCTTCGATAATCAGTTTTTCTATTGGGATAAGATGAAAGTGGAAAAGTATCTGTCAAGAGAAGTGATTAAAGAACAACTGGATGATTGGGTCAGAGAATTACGTGAAAAAAAAATATTGGCGAAAACAACTACAGTCACAGAGGTAAGTATTTCATTAACAAATTTGAACACCATCGCACCAGTTCAAAGCGTTTTAGTGAAAATAGCGGATTTCTGAAAGAAGTCTGAGAACCTTTCAACTTTCACAATCTCCTATTCCAAATTTCAAACTAGACTCTAAGAAAAGCAATGTCTCTTAGGTTCAGTTAAAAGGAGTTTGCATGGCTTCAGAGTTACTATAGTTACTATAAAATGGCGAATGTCAATATTCGAACGGCGATTGCACGACCTCAAGTAGTCATGGGTTTTGCTAGTTGAAAGGCAATAACAACTGATTTGTACTGTAAGATGGTCTGTGGTAAACATTGGCTCAATTTAATTCCCATTTCTAAGTTAGGTGAATCCAATAAATGAAATTTAGTTTATCACTAAAACAGTGTCACCATAGTTCCTTTCGGTCGTGCAATCTCCCTTCGACAATCGCAGTTCGCCGTTCTCCCCGACAACGTTTTTAAAAAAGGCAAATATGATATTAATCATTGTTTTCAGGCAAAAAAAGTGAAGTGACGTCAAGGGAGGCTTCATTAGATATACAAACTTTGAAACAGTCGCTCAGAAATGTTAATTTTCATGAACTCCATCTGGAAATGTTTATTTCCTACATTGCCTAAGATAAACTAAATGATTGTCATGAAATCATTTTTAAGCGACTCCCTCAAAGTTCGTATATTTGATGAAGCCTTTTTTTGACGTCACTCATTAGCATTTTCAATTTTCAAATGCCTTTTAACTCAGATGCTAAAATTCAAACTTTTTTTTCTTCAAAACAATGATTAGCATATCATATTTGCCTTTTGTTAAAAATGATTTTTTAAAGGGTTTATGTGCACTTTAAGTAAGCTATGTAAGCTCTAGTGAAGAGGAAACGCCATGACCCTCGAGTCTCAGTCCTAGTGATGGTCTAGTGATGTCCCTTTTAACGTTGGGTTTCAGCCCCTTTTTAGTGAAAATCACTGACAATGCACCCCTCCTGAATTATTTCAATAAAGTTTTTAAAAAAGCTTAATTTTACGTTTTCGCTCTTTATATCTTAAAAAAATAATTTCCGGCTAGCATTCTAACATAAATGAATTTTATTAATTTCTCAACCTTTTGAAGTTAAACGTACGGTGTTTGTTTTTCTAGATTACAGAGACATTTAAGATGACTTCTGAACTGAAATTGAAAGACGTTTTGTTCTTTCTTCGTTTTTTTCCCTTGATATACAGAGATATGAAACAGTCTTCTGTTCTCTTCGAAATTCCAATCGATGGGATGTATGTACGGCTACGGTTGGAAGATACTATGTCTATGGTAAATTGGGGAGACTCTAAAATGTTTAAAGCTGCTTTTCTCATGAAAAATGGCAAAGGGGAAGACCTTGCATCAATTCAATCTATTGCAAATGATTTGCAAAAAGTTGCTTGGAATTTTGGGTTTAAAGTCTTTAATAATGATATAGCAGAACCTATCAAAAATGTACTGCAAGTCTTACTTGATTCAACACTTATATCGAGTGGGCATTTTGAAAAGGCATTTGTGTTTAACCACAATAAGTGGTTAAACAAGGAGATAAAGGAAGATATCATCAAAGCAGGAATAAAGTTCCTTCTTTCAACCTCACTCCAGCGCTTCCAACCTTCGATGCTACAAGATCTTTACCATAATTTAAGAGAACAACTTCATAAATATATTGTTTACAAAGTTGAGAATCGACGCTTTGTAAAACTGAAGTACGAATTAACGTACAGTATGATGATGACAGCAAGTTTATACAGGAGAGAATGGCAAGATTTGTCTACAAATGTTATTGTCAGTGTTAAGGACCACACGGGCGATTTCATTACAATAACAGTAAACCCGACAAATAAAGTTAATTTGCGGACAATTTTCAAACTCTTACAATCAATCTTGTACTTTTCTCATGGTAAAGTAAAATGTGTCGTTCCCTTTGGTGGAAAGAATAGAATCTTTTACCTGTCTCGGGCAAAAAGGGGGCACAGTCAAATCATTGTTCAAACCAATAATAATGACTGGGAACAAGAAGCAAGGCAAGAGAAAAAGTTAGGAGACATTTGGTGGGCTCCAGATTACAATAGTATGATAAAGGTTTTGACAGAAATTCCTGATCAAAAAGAGCTGGCCTCAACTATGATACAAGCTTACACTTCACCTCTTAATAATGTTCAACCAAATTTTGAGCACATTTTGAAAAAGCCGTTAATAATACGTTGTGTTTTCGAATTCCTCGTAATAGCCATGGTTGCAGACGCAGCAGCACCAACAGAATTTGTCAAGATAGTCTTTATCGAGAAGTTGGCTGAAATCGTTGAAAAAAAAAAAACTTTTCCAGGCTGGAAATCAATGCCGAAACTCGAAAAACCTAGGAAAGACGTGAAAGGCAGCGGGAGAAGTCCGACCATGGATGATGTTGCTCTTGAGCTACTTTATAAGATGAGAGAGGGCAAATTTGTAAGTAATATATTTGCAGCAAATTGAATATACACCAATAAGATCAAAGTGATAATAATTATCCAAAATCTCTGAAAATACATATATATGAAAGAGCTTTCACAAATTTCTTTTATGCAGTCATGTATTTGCAATAGAATCAAAATGCCTCAATTCGAAAAAAACTCACCAATATCGCCCATGTCCAGTCTTGAATTGATGATAGTTATCCCGCGAGTTAGCAAACAGGAGAGATATATTACAAGGCCGCGCGGAAAAACAGATTCAACACGAAAGATACTAATCCATATCTCCAATCGATCAAGCAATATTGTTTCATCATATAATTATCTATGAAAGCAAATATCGTTTTAAGGGACTGTGCAATAATTACCAGGAAGGGGCCGTAAAACCAGAGGGGGGGCATTACATAAAATTGATTGGCAAGATAGGGGGGGCTCAAAGTAAAATTACCTAATTAACAGAGGGGGGCTTAAGTTTCATTCAAAATATTTTTTCGATGTCTCTCAAAACGCTGGAAATCGCATTTCCAAGAGTTATTTATTTCAAAATTTTCTGGGGGAGGACCAGACTCCCTTAATACTCCCGCCTTTGGTGGTCGTTAGACCCCCAGATCCAAAATATGTGTCGCGGTCCCTGACATGTGCATAAAATGTCCACGCTTCGCGCCTGACTAATGGAAATCTAAATTCAAAGACTCGTTGATGTGGGATTGAAATTGACCAAGGTATGAAATTTTTTTCAACTATTGATTTTTTCAATTTTGTCACATAAATTGAGGATGTAGTTGTCACATAAATTGAAGATGTAGAAGCTGAAAAACCGATTGATGATTTATCAGACATAACAAGCACAAGTAATATCAAAGTCGTTTTTGACCATTTAAACATTACATAACCCTATTTTGGACCTTGAAAACCTTTGCCAGGAACAAAACTATTTGAAAGAAGGGCGCCACATTTGCTTGTGAGATTTTCAACCATGTAGACAATGTAAAATCTCTTTAATTTACCCAGGAACAAATTCATACAAGAACAGTTATTTAGCAGAACAGACCCCGTCAGCTCCTCACTGAAAAGTTTTTGTCTTTACACTTGGATCCAGATGAGTAAGCCACCTCTTGCATCTTGCCTTGTCTTAAGTGAATTTTGCGTTGCTACAGTTGATGCGACTCGCTTGTGCTTGTTATAACTAAAGTTAATAGTTAGGGGGGTTCGGGTTCGACACGTTATTTCTAATATAGCAGGGAGGGGGGTAAGAGCTATTTTCTTATGCTTTGGAGGGGGGTTCTGACTAATTTCCTTCTTAAGAAACCTAGTTTTACAGCCCCCCCTTCCTCCTGGTAATTATTGCACAGTCCCTAAATAACTTTTATTTTCCTCCAATAGTTACCACGAATGTGTTATTTTGCCTTTTCGAAAGTGGGAGAAAGATATGTATAACTATAGTTATTTCATAGGTAATTACATGATAAAGGGTTTCCATAGAGTGCGACCGAGGTGCATCCTTGATTTAAACATTTGGGAATCACTACTACCAAAAAAGCCGCTTTCTTTGATGAAATACAATATTAGTGTGTGTATTAATCTGTTTATACTTGATTATAGAGGGTTTGAATGTACATTGAATTGAAAAAGTCCATCACTAATGCTGGGAAACTATTGTGTAAGGCATGACGATAAATAGATTCTCATATATTATATATGTTGTTTTTAAGAAAAGTATCACGGATGCTTTCAGTTTGAAAAACTTCCCCGCAATTAAAAAACAAGGAGGGACAGATCTAGCACGGAAGTATGTGTATTACAATGGTGAAAGTTACATCCCTTCCTTTTGGATTATAAAGAAGGCTGATGAAATAGTAGAGGCTGCCACATGTGTATGGCTCATCTGACTCATGAACACTTAGGCTGGGTTTCATCCAGCTTTTACTCGTATAAATAAACCGGATGTGCGCAGACTAATGACTAAACACAATCGAAGTTGCTGGAACGTTCGGCTTGTGTTTCCAATGGAAAAATGCGATGGAATTCGAAACCTAACAATAACATTAAAGCTATTTTTCGATAATTGTATCTAATTGTATTAGAGTCTAATTGCAATTTTTATATGTAATAGGACTCCATGCTGTCCAATTAAGAAATAATTGGACGAGGAAAATTCCGAGGACTGCCAAAAATTGGACGAGGCCGTGGCCGAGTCCAATTTGGCAGTCAGAGGAATTTTTCGAGTCTAATTATTTCTTAATTGGACAGCATGGAGTCTTATTACCTATTAATTATATAGCCACATATTGATCCCAAATAGGTAAAAGCCAACCACAGCTTTTAACAAAAACCCAATTGAAAACCTGTCCAATTAATTTCTTAATTGGACAGGATTCCAAAATTAACGAAAAATCCAGCTTTTACCTATTTGGGATTAATATGTGGCTATATAATTAA